TCCCAGGCTTTCTCTCAGCACAGCCCAGTCATGCAGGAGCATGCAGGGGGGGCTTCCATCGGGTCCTGCCATGCAGCGTGGATGGCTGAATGAAGACGGATCATGAGGTTGAAAGGGGCCTCTATGTCATCGGGCCTGTGGGCTCACCTACCTGGAGAGACTCCCCACTCTGGAAGCCTTACCTTACAGAGGGACATTCACACTGAAGCAAACTTGAAAAGAGAGAACACGTACACAAACAGAAGTTTACTTGGCCGGCATTTCCCTCATTGCCTTGGGTGTTCACCGAGGACAGCTAGGACTCTGCGGGAGGCAGCTCTCTCCCTCTTAACTGGCTTGCTCCCATCCCAGTGGTAAAGTCCCAGGATCCTGTGATCTCGGAGTCTATTGTTTTGGGGTTATATCAAATGTGGGAGTGAGCTGACTAGCCCCCACGATCTGCAGTGTCAGCCATATCAAATTCATTTCTTCCTCCCTACAGTCCCCCCACCAAAAGATAAGCCTACTAGGAGCACAAAAGCTAGATGAGAGAGACTTATTAGTGATTAGACAGCACCACCATCTTGGAAGGAAGTCTCCAATGAGACAAAATGTTCATGCTAAGCTATTATCTCTAGTATCAGACACTTTGCTTGCTTTTGTTCATTTGATTTTATGTCCATAGGGCTTTTGGTTTGGTGTTGATAGCATATCATTTGCATAAAATCAGTTTAGTGTGCATAGAGCTGGGGCAGGAGGAATATACAGGGGACACGAGGAGGACATGTAGGAGTTTAGAAGACACATGAGGAGAAACTTGCCATGTTGAAGCAGAGACCACCAAATGCGGGCTTCCACAAAGGGGTGATAACCTCAAGGCTGGAAACCCTGGTGCACTCCTAACCTCTGGGGAATCAGAGCAAGGGTTACACAGGGAGGCTAAGGCGCCAGGGGCACAGGAATCTCAGCTTAGCAAAAACATGTCAGGAAGCCAGAGCCTGCAGGACAGCAGGCAGTGGAGGTATGTGATGGAAACTGACCAGAGGCCAAATTCCAGCCTCCGATCTGAACAATCTCTTTGGTGACATCTTCTGAGGCGGAAGCCTTTCTGTGGAGGGGATGGGATGGGAATTGGGTTGGAAACTGTTCTGATGTAGCCTTAGCCCCTGTGAGTATGAGCACACCCCAGTCTCCAGGTGAGCTAGCCCATGGCAGAGGCAGGTTTGCCTGTATCGTGGGTTTGAGGAGCCTTGGGAGTTCTGGAAACACAAAATAGTAGATTGTGGCTATTCTCAAATGCTAGACTGGATGGTATGGCCGCCTCTAGGTCCTCCAAAACGGATTCTTTCCTGAATTCACCAGCAGGTCACCTGCCAGGTGACTTAGCTCTGGTAGCCAGTAAGGTAACTGAGGTCATGGCTACTGAGTAGGTTTCTGGGGAATGGTGGCGTTCTGGTATAAGGTCAACAGGGCATAGCTGGAGTTAATTCCAAAGAGAAGAAATCCAGGCTCTTTGTTTCACCCAGCACTTGACCGCACTTCCCCTAAGGTGTCTATGGTGGTGAGGTTTCCACATCTGTCTCGTTGGCTTGTTTAAGCTTGTGCCCAATGCCTCTTTGTGCTAGCAACACCCACAAGGCTGGTGCTGTCTAACTGGAGATGTTACACGAAGGACTATGGTATCTAGCCCTTTATGTGACATCTGTCCCCAAGACAGGATCCAAGAACTTCACAGGGTCCTGGCTAGTAGTGCCTTGTCCTCATTGCCTTCTTCTCAGTGTAGAACTGGCTTTTGTTCAGCTGTCAAATCTTACCTCCCTGAGCTGTCCTAGGAAGTATGACATGTCCTTAAGTTATAAGACACCTTAAGCCAAGAAAGTCGGTCTTGTAAGGCAACCTCTGACCTGTGAGTAGCAAGAGGATTCTGTGGCAATGTGCTGCAGTCTCTCTCTCCCCGGTGACATGTGGGTGAGTGCATTTGCCTAAGGCTACACCTGCAAATGGAAGACAGAGCTAGTCTGCTCCTTGCTCCCGCCTGGTCTTGGCAGACATCCCTATGTTAGTTGGCTACATGAGGATGGTGGCTACACTGGGCTTGCGAGGTTTTCCCAGGTGGTACATGGAATAGCTTTAACTTAATTCAACATCTTCTGCTAGACTTGAGTTTCAGCTTGGGGACAGAATTAGGACAGCTTTCTCTTTTTCTCTCCCCCTACCTCTTTTCTTTTCACTCCACAAATTTGGCATTTATGAGAGATACCTGAAATCTCAAGGATAGAAGTGTGATCAAATATTTAAACACCTTGATGAAGTCTCTCAAGACCTGGGACCGTTGGCTCTGACCAGTCCACAGGATTCAGCTAAAGTATGAGCAGAAACACCTCTTGTACAATCTTCCTATTTCCTCCCTGATGACCTAACTTTTTCATCTTAGCTAAAACAAACCAGCCGATTGAACCCTTTTTCCTTGGCCCTCCAACATGGTAGTCTGGGGCATACTGGGGATGCAAATACAAGGCAGTTTTTTTTTTTTTTTAAACATATTCTTACGGGGAAAGAAAGCCACCAGAAGCCTATGTGAATCCCCCAGCAAAGTAATCAGGCAGGAATCCCTGTTTCTAGTCCCAGGGGGGAGGTTTCCCAGAGGCTGAAGTAAGGAAAGCCCTTGTCTCCTGTGCACTGGGGTTCAAGGGGATGTGGAATCCCAGCCGATCCTAGACCCAGGGGAGTACTTCCTCTTTCTGGTTTCTGGGGAGTCCTTACATACAGGAACATTGTCACTCTTGCCTAGGGACAACCTGAAGGGGCTGTCTGCCTGCCTGAGCCCAGGTGAAGCCTGCTCATTGGTGGAGTGGGACACACGGTCACATGGTAGCCCATTTGTTCCCCACTCGGTCTCCCTATCCTTAGTATCTGGGTTCTGTTTTAGACCCCCAGCCACAGTCACCTCACACTATTCTTCACAGCCCTCTGTCATTCTGCTTTTACTCAGTGGGTGGAGTAGCCCCGGATCAAAGTGTAGTTTCTCTCTGAATGTCTTGTGACAGGACCTATAGAAGCCATGCAAAGACAGAGTACACATTCCAGTGTAAAGACTGGAAACCCAGCGAGGACATCCGGGATTGATGGGGCTGTAATAGCTGCTTTGGGAACCTGATTTCCCCACCACTGCTTAAGTCCCAGAGCCTGCCTTGGATTTGAGTAAAACTGCCTAGGGAAGGCCTGTGGTCACTTCTTTTTTTCCCTATCATATATTAGACGCCAGAGAGAGCCTAGTTCCAGTGACTCCACTCATAAAAACATCCTTTGTGAACTGAGGTTCAAGTTCTTCCTCATTTCCTTCCTTCTAGGAGTTTCTCTACAACACTAGCTTCCTTCACTCACACCAGCCTTTGCTCCCGTCCATATCCCCACGGGCTGTCCTTGGGCCTCCTCACTACACACTCTCTTCAGAGTCTGTGCCTGTCCCTTACCCACTTTCTGGGTCTGGTGGCCCTCCTTGAGCCTGGCTGAAAACATTGACTTAAAGAGTCTCTACATAAGTTCAAGCCATTTTATGGAGGGCAATGACATCTGCCTGGTCCCTGCGCTCTTGTTAGTTTGGGCCTGAACTGTTATAGTTCTGCCTCTCATTTCTCTAGGAATTAATTAATTTCCATTACATGGAAATTCTAAATCACCCCTCAGGCTTGATCCTTCAGTTTCTTCTCGGCCTCTGGTGACCAACTTCACACATTCTGTCAGGTACCCAGTTACTCTTGTCCTTTGAGACGACTTGTATCGGCCCCAGGCCAAGCCATGAGGCTGGTATGTGCAGTGAGTTCTGCTAGCCCTAACAGCCAAAGTTTCAAACCTTCCCTATGAACAAAACCCACAGCATAGGCTTGGCATGGGGTGGGAATGGGGGTTGGGCAAGCTGTGGTGAGATGGGCTAAAGTGGAAGAGAGGTTCGCAGAGAGAAATTGACCCAAAACCTGGCCTGTTCCAAGCTGTGTGTCTCTCAAGAGCCACAGAGACTAAAGCAGAAAGCAAAGTAGAAATAGCAGCAAGCCTTAGCATTACATCATGCCAACCTGTCACGTTTGACTCTGTCTCAGGTCTGGAGCATACTCATCACCTGGGCAACAACCTTCCAGAATATTCTAAGATTAATTCCCCTCTGGGGACCCAAGGATCACTTAGGGTCTTTTCTGTCCTACAGCTGGGAGAGAAAGATCTCCTCTGACAAAACATGGTGACACATGGCGAGTTGATGATCTCAGGGCTTCTGCCAGTCTCACAGGTCTGGGATTTCATCTAAGAAACTCCCTTCAGCTCTCAGGTGTGTGAAGCTGGCTGCCCATACCCTCAGTCTGAAGGACTGACTAGCTCATGAAATAATGGAATTAAGACGCCTCTCCTTTGGGATTATGGTGCCTGTTCTTTGAAAACTCTCATAGTAGGTCAGGCTGCAGGACATGGCCTTTGGCTCCCTAGCCAAGCCTCGGGTGTGGTCCTCTGTCCAGCTTCTGACTGTCCCTTTCATTTGATCCCCTCTTGTCACCTGGGCGCTGTACATGGAGAGCAGCCCATGCTGTGCCCTGGAGCAGGCGGAGGACAGGAACATATGAGAGCTAGGACTGTGATGGGCCCAGGACACAGCCTTTCTTGCAACAGTCACTGAATCTCATCTCACACTATGCCATATAAGAACCACGACGAGCATTTAGCTACTATTTTCCTTTACATGGATGCTTTCAAAGCACAACCCCATCTCTCTCTCTCAAAACACCTCGTCATCTGTATGTCATGTGGAAAACTAGCATCATTATAACTGATCAAAATAAATAAACAAAGCTTGATATAAGAGCACGGTGCTTTGGGTGCCATAATTGCCACAGTCAACGTCTAGGGCCTCAGACTCTCTCTGGGGAGACTCTTCCCTGAGCTTTTGGCCACACCCCAGGCTGCTCTTGGCCCACACAGGCTGGTATAAAAGTGCCAGATGATCATGGAGAGGAAGGGCTGGGAGCCTCACTTACAATTCTCGGCTTGAAAGGGGGCTTGATTTTCTTCTGCTCCAGCAGTACCCAGTCAATCTCCTTGAAGAATGGGTGCTGCTTGATGGCATCTTCCCCATTCTGTGCTGCCACACAGCCCAGGCGCTTGTGGGGGTTCTTGGTCATGAACTGTGGGAGGAAGGCACAAGAGAATTACTGATGGAGGCTTCTGGGCAGGGGTCACAAGGGACTGTCTTCCATATTGCTTCCCACATCTGTGTTTGCACACCAGACGCCTCACTCCCAGTGTGTTCTACCCTTGAATATGATGTAGCATGTGCCAGACAGCATTTTGAACATTGGGCAGATATGGATTCATCTCTTCATGAGGTATTATTACCATTTCTCCTTTATAAAGGACTAACTTGGCATGGAGGGGTTAGTAAACTGGGCTAAATTGCACTGACAGCAAGATATCAAGTTGAGGTTAGGACCTCACTCCTGTTCTCTGATTACATCAGATGTTTAAGTCTTTTCAGCAGAGGCTGAGATCTGATAGTCACTCACCTCAAGGAGGCAAGGAAAGATGGCTGGGCACGCAAATGTGTGCAAATAGAGGCAAATGAATCAAATGTGCCTCTCATCTCTTTCCTTTCCTAACCCCTCTCATTCTCTTTTTAGTTTTAATTTGCAATTGCCATTCAAAAATGCCCATGTAGGGGCCAGCAAGATGGTCCAGTGGATAAAGGCAGGCATTTGCTTTTACCAAACCTGACAATCTGAGTTGGATCACGGGGCCCCACATAGTGCAGGAAGAGAAGCAAAGCCAGGGAAATTGTTCTCTGACCTCCATATATACAGCATGGACACACACACACACACACACACACACACACACAATTTTAAAAATGCCTATGTAAGCTAAAGATAAAATTCATTCATTTTTGGAGTTGGTAAGTAAGTTCACAGTTGCAGGCTCCTGTGGTCTACATGACGAGCTCATTTCTACTAAACCAGTCAGTTCTGGGAATAAACATAACCTCAGCCAAAAGCTGAATACCAGTAGAAACCTAAAAACGTGTTTTTTTGATAGGCACCACAAATAAAGGTATGTGTGTGTTCCTGTGTTGTGTGTTGTCCCTGTGGGTGTTAGAGATCAAGTATGATGTTTTATAAGGCAAAGGTCAGTGACAGAGGGACCTGAGAGGACAGACTATGGTGGGCTTGCAAGGCTCACCAGCAAGTGAGAGCTTCTTAAACGGGAAAGGGTTAGGCTTAGAGGGTAGGGTCCCACCATGTCCCCCTGGTGTCCTTAAACCCAAACCACATGAGTATGAGCTGAACTCTCTCTGATAGGAAGCCACACAAAAGACAGGGAACAGTGCTGAGAAGCCTCAAATTTGTGGGGGACCTATGATCTTCATCTCCTTCACCCACATGTCCAAGAAGTCACTCCTGCACTGATCTCGATGACCTCAGATGTCCCGCACTGACCTATACTTGGTTGGCACATGGTGGCATCTCTATTTATTTCCTGCCTACTTTTCAGTGTCCCACTGCATTTGCTAAGACAATCAAAACGCTGATTCCTAGGCAACTAGCTTCAGCACCACGTTTCTTGTCTATCTAAATTATGAGCTGCCTAAAGGTCGCTTTCCCTTGATGAGCTCTGTGACACATTCACCTAGTACAGGCTCCATCTCTGCCTCCTACAGGGTGCTCAGTGAATTGTGAAGGTTGACCAGAAAGCTGAAGGCAAAGGCTTAGGGAATGGTACTGTGTACGAGCATCAGTAAGATGGCTGCTTGTTGTTGAATGCATTGATACAAATGGCCACTCTAGATCCTGAACCACCTTCACATGGGTACAGAGTCTTAGAAAATATGGGCAGGGGGAAAATAAGGGGACAGAGGTAGGAGTTCCAAAGAAGAGCAGAGGACTCCTCACTTTCATAGCCATTCCCACCTCCCTCTTCTGGCAGAGGAGACAGAAGTCTCAGGGTGAGCCCCTGGGGTAATCCCCTGGGCCAGAGCTCCTCCCAGACATTAAGCAGTCAACACAGCATGACCTCTAACCCCTGAGTCTCTGCAGGTCAACAGTTTTCTTGTCTTTAAAAATGTATTTCTCAACTTTTAAATTATGTGTATGTATATATGTGTGGGGACATGCAAGTGTAAGCACAGTGCCCGGAGAGTTTAGAAGACAGCATTGGTCTCCTGAAGCTAGAACTACAGAGGGATGTTAACTGTTCAAGCTGGGTGCCATGTTTCAAACTTGGGGCCTCTGTAATAGCAGTACATGTTCCTAACCCCCAAGACACCTCTCCAGCCCCAGGTGTCAGCAGTTTTCCTACTCCGTGCTACTGACATTCTTTGCTATGGGGCTGTCCTGTGTACTGCAAGCTGTTCAGCAGCCTCTCGGACATCTCAGTATATCTTTAAACATCAGCACCCACCATGCTCTCCAAAACTGTGTCAACTCCACTGTTTCCAAACATGGCTGGACATGTGTCTAGAAGGAGGGTGTCAAAACTATAGTGCTGTGTGGGCCATCCAAAGAGAGAGGGAGAGAGGGAAAAAGAGAGGGAGAAAGGGAGAGAAAGGAAAAGAAAGGGAGGGAGAAAAAGGGTGAGAAAGAGGGAGAGAGGGAGAGAGAGGGAAGAAGAGAGGAAGAGAGGGAGGGAGAGAGTAAGAGAGAAAGAAAGGGAAAGAGAGGGAGAAAGAAAGGGAGAAGAAAGGAAGAGAGCAATAAAGGGAGGGAGAGAGAGGGAGAAAGGAAACGAGAGGGAGGGAGAGAGAGGGTGAGAAAGAGGGAGAAAGGAAGAGAGCAATAAAGGGAGAAAGAGAAGGAGAGGGAAAGAGGTGACGAGACCAGACCCTCACCCAGCCTCTTAGCAACCATGTCAGGCTACAGAAAAGACCCAGCAAGACAAAGGCCCCTGACTCAGCAAAATGTGCTGAGCTTCCTAACCTTGCCTGACTAGGAGGTCAAATACCCTCCACGAGGCAAGGAACCAATCAGAAGTTAGCTGGCGGGCTCTGGGTGCACTTTATGGTGCTTTACAGTAAAACTGGCATAATAGTGCCCTGCAGAGCATAGCAACCACCCTGGGGAGGGCCTATAGGCCATAGCAACCAATCAACACAGGACAGGTTGCCCAGGCCCAGAAGAGCACCAGTCCTGAGACTGCTGTGTACCCCTAGACCCCTATATACTGGAGTAAATTCCCTGCCTCAGAGTTCCCCTGGGTTCATCTCACTTCAAGCGCCATGATAAACGAAGGGCTCAAATTAAAACAGTTAACTCATTAAACAATAAAAGACGCTTTGCTTTTGCATCAGAATGGGTCTCTTGGTGTTTTGGGAGTTCAAAATTTGGGCACAAGAGGAGACAGAGAGTGAGTGAGGCTCCGCTCACACTTGGCCCCTGTGTGGGCAGAGGACCCTCAGAAGGAGGCTGAGCTGGTGACTGCCAGGCAGATCCATGTTCTTTCCAGTGCTGGAGACCAGCTGCCCAGGGCCAGGTGGGGATCAAAGGACTAGAGAAGAAGGTTCACATTTCCACCCTAACTAACCACTCTGGAATGGTCCTTGGTGGGGGAACCCACATGACAACTGCCCCAAGAGCTTTCCTAAGAACCGAGACAGGCAGACACAGCATCTGGTAGAAGAAGCGATGGCCTCTTCTGTAGGGTCTTCTGATTTCTGTTCCAACAACGAACGGTAAAGCAGGGAAAAATCTGAGTCTATAGCCTCTTGGTATATACCTATGGAAATTCTGCAAGTTGTACAAAACTCCATCCCTGTGTCATCCATGAGGGTCAGAGTGTGGGGAACAGGCAGGTGGGAATGGGAAGGAAACAAAGGCCTTTGGCAGTGTTCTATGCTGTACTTTTGGCATTTTAAAAGATTCATTATGTGTTTCTGCTATTCAAGTAAGTGAGAGCATAAGGCTGGGAAGTGCCCAGAGATGGAGCAGGGCCCAGGACTAGGGTAGTGGCTTCATTCTACTCAGGGGTCATTGAGAAACCATAGCAAGCAAACAACGGCCTGGCTCAAAGTGTGGTTCCCAAGGGTGACCCTTAGAGGCTTTGCTTTGGCCTGCATATTCTTTGTTTTTGTTTTCTGAGACAAGGGTTCTCTATAAGTCCTGAAACTCACTCTGTCCACCAGGCTGGCCTCAAACTCACAGAGATCTGCCTGCTCTGCCTCCCGAGTGCTGGGATTGAAGGCAACCATAGCCCTGGTGCATATTCTTTTTAAGGGAAGGTGTTCCAATCGGTTCACAAAGAGAGTGATGCTACACCATGCTGGTTTCTAGCTGCCCCTTGGAAAGGCAGCTCCGATGCAGTCAGTCCTCACTGCTACAGATCTGTGCTCAGCTGGAGGTAGGGAGTGGACACGCCCAAGACAGGTGTGGCTCTCAAGCAAACTCCAAGTCACCTGCCACATCATCTCCTGTACCAAAGGCATTTCACCTTGTAAACTGGGACAAAGAGAACAACAACACAGAGACCGAAGGGCAGCCATCTTCATATAACAACAAACACCGTATGCAGCAGGAGTTGCTTGTCACTCCCAGGTGTCTCTACGGGAGAAACTGACACAATCCCTGTCCTGCCACACAGGAGGGTTTCCGTTCTTGTGGGAGGAAACAGACTACACATATATACTTTTTTAATTAATTAATCTACTTATGGGCTACGGTGGGCATGTGGAGATCAGAGAACAACTTTCAGGAGAGAGTCTGTTCCTTCCTTCCACCATGTTGAAGCAGGATAGCTCTTGTTTGTGCCAGGCTGTGTGTGCTCCAGCCTGGGTGGCCTGTGACCTTCTGGCTGTTTGCAGCTTTCATCTCACCGTGGAAATGTTAGGATTGTAGGTTTGCACCACCGCGCGGGGCTTTTCACATGGCTTCTGTGGATTGAATGCACATTGGCATACCGCTAAGCCATCTCACTAATGCTGTTTGTTGTTTTTGAGACAAGGTCTCGTGTGACCCAGGATAGTCTCTAACTCACTGTGTAGCTGAGGAATGGCCTTGAAGTCTTCCGTTCTCCTCCCTCAACTTCCCCGGGGCAGGTATGACAAGCATGTGTTACTCTTGAGTAAATATGCACGGCTGGGGACTCAACCCATGTCTTCACGCATCCACCCTACACTCTATGGCTGAGCCACATTCCCGGTCCTCCATGGTGGACTGGAAGGCAGAAAATGCTATGGGAGTGAATAAAGGGATTTCCAGGAAGTTTCCATTTCTTACAGGCATGAGGATGAGGTAGAGCAAGCCTCCTACACAGTAGAGCACTTTGTCCATCAAGAGGCAGAAGAGGCAGCACTGGAAACCAAGAAGAGGCGGCCCAGGGCAAACGCTACCAAGAAATAACAAAATGGTCTTTCGCATAGAAGCGTGACTAAGCCTCTATCTTCAAGCATGAGAACCATGCAAGGTGGAGAGATAAAGAGGAGTGAGGCAGGGGAGGGCGTGTGAGTCCAGACTCCTGCAAAAATGCTGGTAGGTCTAAAAATTGTCATGACTTCTATTAGTTACGACAAGTGCTGCAAACTCCCCATCTGTCGTACAGTCAACTTTCTTCATATCTGGAATAAAGTGAAGACTGTGCATTCGGGCCCTTGAACAGGGCTGGTTTGGTGAATGTGGCTGTTTAACTACTGAACGCTGGGGTATTTTGAAGAACAGAAGGTAGGAAGTCAAGGCTCCTGGGCTGTCATGTGGTTATGCCTTGGGCAAACCGTCTGGTGAGCAACACACACACACACACACATACACACAGATACACACAGACACAGACACACAAAAACACACACACACAGATACATACACACATACATACAGACATACATACAGACATACACACAGACACAGACACACAAACACATAGGCATACATATAGCACAGGCATACAGACACACACACACACAGAGACACACACAAACACACACAGAGACATATACACAGACATAGACACATACACACATACACACAGACATACATAGCACAGGTATACAGAGACACACACAGACACACACATAGATACACACACAGAGACATACAGCATACACACACACATACAGACATACAGACACAGAGACAGACCCACCCACACACACACAGGCACACACACACAGACATACATACAGATACACACACAGATACACATAGATACAGAGACACACAGACAGAGACACAGACAGACACACAGACACACACACACACACCAGAGGGGGTGGGAGAGGAAGAGGTGGGGAGAACACCCTCAGGGAGTGGAGCAATAGGTGAGGGACAGTGACTCACAGCTTTTAAGATGCTGACAGCCTCCTTGCTGAGCCAGACAGGGTACAGCACGTCATCGTGAAGGATGGATTCGAACAAGTCGTCCTCGTTGTCGGCTTCAAAGGGGGGCTGCCCAGCCATCATCTCATACATCAGCACCCCCAGAGCCCACCAGTCCACTGAGGGGCCATACTCCAACTCCTGCAGGATCTGTTCAGGAAACAGGTAGTGTTAGTCAGGGTGACTTAAGAGCCCTGCCTCAGCAACAGCCCTGCAACCAACTCTCATGGACACAAAGGTCTGCACCTTTGTGTTCACACCTTTGCTTCCAACTTGCTCCACCATAGAGCAGAGCTGTGCTACCTGAGAGGGAGGCCTACCTCAGCATCTCCAGGGAAGACTGAGTGTGGAAGGCCAATAATCCTTTCCCACAGCCAGCATCGACTAACCTCCAGTGGAAACAAAAGGCAATTTCTTTGTTTGGATGCCATAATAGTTCCTGAGTTGCACTTAAGGCCACTTTCAAAAGAGGAGAGCACAGTTTGACACTGAACCCCAAGTTAGGAGAGCAGGATGTGAACTTCAAAAGGCAATGCTGAGAGGGATGTGCAGCAAGCTCAGGGCCCTGCTGTCACTCACAGCTGGAGAGGGGCAGGGGCAGGTAGATGCCGACTGTCCAAATGGGAAGGAGACCAGAATCTTTTCCCTTTTTCTTTGTTCCCCCTTGAGCCATAGAGTCTTACTTCATAGCCCTGGGTAGGCTGAAATTCACTCTGTAGACCAGATCGGCCTCCAACTCATAGAGATCGCCTGCCTCTGCCTCCTGAGTGCTGGGATTAAAGGTGTGTGCCACACTGTGCTTGCAATTCCTTACGTGGTGACAACACTTAGTTTACCTGAGCCCCATACTCTAGGGAAGGAAATAATAGAAAAGACATCTTCCACAGCCCAACTGTTCTACCCAGGAAGGACTACTATGCTCTTTTGTACCATAGTAAAATACCCATTTCTATCATTCCTCCTGGTTTCAGGAGTCTCACCAATGAACTTCCCACTTAATAGACTCTGTAGATCTCAGGGCCTGTCCTTGGGAATGAATGTTGTTCTCATGGGCAAAGTCAAAGTTCAGTCAGTTCTGTGACTGCCTTTGAATTCTATATCTGACAGCAACCACCCAGCCTCAGCAGCATCCCCTCCTCTCAGCCACTGCTTATCTGGCCAAATGCATAGAGTCAGAGAAGTAGCTTAACATGAACCCATGTAGGACATGCTAAACAGCTCTCTGGGGCAGTCCCAAATTACTTGGGGTTAAACAGAAAGAATTTGGTAGACGCATCTACACACACAGTCTAGGATGCATGTCACTTTGGGATGAAGAAGACTGTAAGAAGCTGCAGTTACCTCGAGAGTATTTCCTCAGCATGTGGGGTTTCTCGATCCAGTGCCCAGTGCCGGCTCTCTGTAAACTCACAACTTTAGGCTGCACTGGACTGGGGCTCCAGCCAAAGCTGCGCTGTCCCTCAATCTCCTGAGATCTAGTCGTCAGCCTGACTTACCACTGGTTTTTTTTTTTTTTTTTTTTTTTTGTCCTTCAAGGTCATGCCTGTGCCCTGTCTCCTCCAGAAAGCCTTCTCAGACTTCCCCGGCATTCTCCCTTCCTTGCCTGTTCCTAAGGGTTATAGGCACTTTCCTCATAATACTGCAGTTTTAGTCAAGTTTTCACAGCCAGCCTGCTCTTTGGAACATCTGGAAAGTACCAGAAAGTTATTCCCCATCATTTCCCCAAGCCTGCTGCTGCGGCCAGCCCATTCACACACTCCAGACACAGCTAGCCCTTCACACCTTCCACTGTGTGCATCTTACCCAGTGCACCCTGTTATCTCTGAAGCTCATGGGCTCTGGCTGATCAGGCAAACCACGTTTAATCATTTTGGGGTGGATGCCTGGCGACTGTGGTTTGGAGGCTGTGGAAATGGCAGAGTGGCCTTATTCAGCCTTCTCAGTCCCTTTTAAGCCTTGGTTTTGGTAGAACCGCTTGCAAAATTCCTCCTAGGCTCAACCCGGATTGTCCTTGGCTTGATCACCTTGCTGAGCTGAGAAGGAAGCTTTGCACACCATGGGAGGGTACCTGGTAAGGAAGCCGGCCCCTCGAGAGGGTCAAGGGTTGAGGTGAGAACAAGCAGGTATAAGGCCTGATGGCACCAGGTGTGACCCAGAGCTGGCAGGAGCCAGGTGTGGAGAAAGAAGAGGGACTGAGAGGTGCCAGAGAGGAGGGGAGAGGGGAAGGACTTGGCAGAGCTGATCCCTCAGAAGGTGGCTCCGGTTTCAGGGCTAGCCTCTCCTACCTGACTAAGGTGTTTGCCTTCAGAAGCACTCCCACCTTTAATCCCATTAGTTGTAAAGCAGCCTGCTGAGATAGAAGGGCAGGGCAGGCATTAGCATTCCCATGGGAAAGACAGGAACCCAAGGTTTCCAAAGACTTCTTGACTTCATCAAGGGTACATGGGGACATTCTAGGCAGGTCTGGACTCAACTCTCTGGACTGTTTCTCACACCCCATGATATAAGCCAACTGTGAAGAGACCAAGAGAGGGAGCTACACTTGGCCAGTCCTTGTCATGAGCTGGGCACTGTGATAAGTGTTCAAGGGACATAACTTCATTTCCTTGTCTCACTGGCCCTTGTTGAGGCAGGCATATCTATCTTGATCAGATGCCATTTGCCTACTGTAAGACCATCACTTGTTTGCCATTTCCAGTGTTCTAACCATCCGGTACAATGGGCCTTGTACTAAGCACACCCAAGAATCTTGCTAGAGTGCACTTTACAGAGGCCGTCTGGGCTTCTCCTTCACTGTGAAGTACGTGTGTTTTTCTCGGGCAGAATCCTCAACTATTGTCAATCCTTTGACCCATGTGGCAACAACTGACAGATGGATAGGAATGGAAGCTTCTCTTGGTAAAAAGAATGAGTGTAGAAGATGAGTGAGTCTTGGGGGGGAGACCCCTTTATTGCTCCTTGCAGGATGTCTTGCTGCTGTTCTTGATAAGGGAACTTATCAACAGAGAGGCTGAAATCACTGTTTTTGGATGATCAAAGCTCCAAGGAGCATGGAGATGCCGGGCCCACAAGCTTCACTCTCCAGCTCTCCAGGGCCCACTTGCGTTGTCCAATCTGTTGAAGCTCCATCCTTTACCTACCTGTTTGTTATTTGTTTAATGATTATTTTTGTTGTTGTCTGAAGAAACTTTATCAGTTCATATGGCAGTGAGAATAAATTCTAAAATTAGAAGTTCAATATCGGCACAATGAATCAAAGGCCATGTCCATTTTTTCTTAAAGGAAAACCTCACCAGACATTCACTGGATGTATTGCAATGTAAGCAAAGGTGTAAGTGGATATATATATATATATATGTATGTATGTATGTATGTATGTATGTATGTACATATATATACATATATATACACATACACACACACACACACATATATATATATATATAATCTTTGTGTACTTAAAGCATTTTTATATGAGTATTCTAAAAGAGGAAGTACCAAAATTTCAGATCCAAGACACATAGGCTCAAATTCCAAGTGAGAGGCCATTAAAGCTGCTAGAAACCCATGTGAATGGGAGACTGTGAAATGTTCTGGAAAATCAGCACTAATTCCAGGAGATACACAGGGAGACAATATCTAATAATATCACCCCCAAGACCAAGAAAGAAAGATGCAATGTAAACAGTTACATCCTACAGCTGTCCAGTTCAAGTTCACTAAGACAGGAATGTTTTAAATGCTTTGTGACACAGCATCTCAGGAAGCTCAGGGTAGCCTCTGGCTTCCTATGCAGCTGAGGATGACATTGAACTTCTCTAAGCCTCATGCTTCCATCTCCTGGGTGCAGGGATTACAGTCTCACACAATTGAGTTTGGTTTATGTGGTTGTTAGGTGTGTGCACTGTGAAGGTCCTGCTTAGCCTGTGGATGGATGTGATGAAGACTTGCCTCCAAGGACATCAAGGACACCCGCAGTAGGTACATATACCCTACGGGATTAAGGTCATATTCCTGGCTCCTTTTATCCCTATTTTGTTAATCATTACAAGCATTTGCTCTATCTATACTACTTTAAAATTTTGTTTTATTGACTAGAGGTAGGTGTGTGTGTGTGTGTGTGTGTGTGTGTGTGTGTGTGTGTAAAGGTCACATCGTGGTAGAGGTCAGAGGACAACTTTCAGTAACTGATTCTCCTATTCTATCTTTAAGTGTGTTCTAGGGTTCAGGCTTGGGCCGTCAATTACTACAAGTGATTTTACTTGCTGAGCCATCTCGCCAGCTCTCTAGTTATGTTAACTCTCCTGGAAATGGCCGAGATGTTGTCATCCTTTGGCTTTTGCATATGTTAAATGTCACATTCCTTCATCCACACATTCAAAAGACCAGTGTTTAGAACCTGGATGCTGAGAGTGCCCAGAGTGAAAGCATCAGCCCTGCCTTGAGAGGATGCACAGCCTAGAGACATGGCCCTTCCTGCTCTGCATGGTTCCCGCTCTCACCCTTCCTGCTGTTTCCAACAATGATCTCCCCATCCGTAAAGAAAACTGAGGATATATTCTCTGCAAGCCAATTTCTCAATCCCAGATGTTCCATGAAACCTTCTTTATCCCTGAAGTATTCTCCTGTTTTAGGTGCCTTTGTTCTGATCACATATGTGTCACTCTGTCTAGACCAAAAACTCCCTTAGAAGAGCAATCAGAGTCTTAGTCATTTCTCCATCCCTACATAGCTTCATCTGGCAGGTGCTCAAATAACTTCCAGTGGAAGGAAGCTTCTCCACACAAGCAATGCTTAACAGGACTGGCACCCATCTCCTGTCTTATGTGTCTTGAAACCATCAAATACATTTAATTGTCTATGGAGCTATATGGTTAAGTATAAACGACCCCTGCTAAGTATCTCTCAGTTTGGGTCAGACTGCTCTAGAAGGACACAAGCCAAACAGTCACCTTAATTAAGGGAACAATATTCCCTTAATTTTCACACATGGCAACCCCCTGGTGAGGTTTGCAGTGGACATCTCTGACCTTTGTTCCCACTGTCCTCTTGCTCCATGCATGTGCCTACCCTGTAGACTTGCTACCTCAGTACAAATGGCAAAGCATTCCTGGTTTTGCTGAATTACATCCAGTGAAGCCACTTGCTGTCTTTTTACTGTTCTGATTAGGAAGAAGTGAAAACTCACCTGCAAATCAACCAGCTTCTCTTAGGTCTAGCTCTGGTAGTAGTTTTGGACTAGGATGGATGCATGATACCTTGACAAGGACTAATTCAAATATGGGTGATGGGAGATGTCCTTCTGTATATATGTTTCTCTTATTGGTTGATGAATAAAACACTGATTGGTTGATTGACCAAGCAGGAAGTATAGGCAGGGCTAGGAGATGAATTATGGGAAACGTAGGCAGAGCATGTAGAGCCTGGGAAGAGAGGACATGCCAGGCATTCTCCAGTAAGCCAAAACCACGTGGAAACACATAACTATATAGGAATGGGTTAATAATTAAGACAGAGCTAGCCAATAAGAAGCCCTAGCCATCAGCTTCATAATTAACATAGCGTCTGTGTGTTTCTTTGGGGTTCAAGAGTGGCGCAACCCTGGAGGGACAGAACACTTTCATCAACACTTGCAGACTAGCCTGCCACTTTCAGAGAAATCACTCAATCATTTCCCTGCCTGTTTCTTACCCAGAATTCACCCTGCTTCTCTGGAGCCTTCTCTTTGCACCCTTGGGTGACTCCCAGATGCATGGCATTGGGCTGTTGCTTCAGCCCTGACACTAAGAAAGGGAAACTAACTCTTTGCACATGGGTCTCACCTCGGGGGCTATGTAGTCAGGAGTCCCACAGAAGGTGGTAGTTGTCACACCATTCAGAATCCCTTCTTTGCACATCCCGAAATCAGCCAGCTTGCAGTGACCTTCTGCATCTAGAAGAATGTTGTCCAGTTTCAAATCCCTGTAAGACAGGTCAAGGTCACACAGTGAGACACACACACACACACACACACACACACACACACACACAAGTTGTGTTGGAGAGAAGCACACACACCCCAGGGACATCTCCAGTAAAGGGAGTTTTAGGGCGAAGTTCTCACTTGCCCCAGACTAACCTCAATCTAGGGGAATCACTCAGCTAGTCAACCTTTAGCAGCACTTACAATTCCTTAGCAAAAGATAGGATCCACCACAGCCTCCTGGCTGCAGTAAGGTTAGGATGCATATCATTTAGACCCTACTGTGAGAAATGCATAGGTCCCCTCCCCACATCCTTCCCAAGTTAACTAGCTTGGCAGACAACAGGGTGACATCTACAAATCACTAAATCAGAGAAAACCACAGGGGTCTGAGTTGCTGGATTTCCAAGGGGGAAAATGATGCGAGACCAATGTAGGCAGTGAGGATAAGCACAACAGTGGTCTTCAGGGGTAGACAGAAGCTAGCTTTGGACAGACCTCAAAGACAGGAACCAAAGGAGATAGAGGCAAAGGTGAGGAGACCAGAAATGGGGATCCTGAGAAGTGTGAGATAAGACTATTAGAGCCAACACCACACATCCTGGGGTGTCAGCAAGAGGGATTTGAAAACCATGCTGAGGGGGACTGAACCCTGCCTGCAGGGTTATGGTGCCTGTGCAAGACCCATCTTCTGCAGGTAGCACGCAGGAAAAATAACCTGGATCCAGTTGTTTCTGTGTAGGAGAGGTGAGACTCATAACAGCATCACAATGACTGCCTAGTGGCCCAGTTTAGCACTCCTGGGTTCTGAGATTTCTTATCTAAAACTGAGGGTCCTAGATAAGGATTTTCCCACCACCCCTGGGAAGCCCAGCTCTGGCCCCATAGGAAGATCTAAATTACGTGGTTGGAGGTTCCTCCTCTGTGCCTCTCACAGCAGCAGCTACACTGGGCTATTGAGGTGGGTCTCACAAAAAAGGCCTCTTCCCCTACAAGCAAAGGTCAGGAAGGGTGGTGTTCGTGTGCCTGTTGGCATCTGAACTTGTGCTCTAGGCATCCCACGGGACCCAGACTGGAGGGGAGGTGGGGCAGGAAGAGCTTCTGGTCCTGCCTATGCTGTGTCTGTGACCCTATTTCTGCTTACAGCTGGGATTCCTTGAGAAAGAAGAAAGTGTTACTCCAAGCAAATGATCCCCAAGTACAGGACAGTGAGCCTAACCAGTGGGGACCCCAACCCTGGCACTGAGTGGGGGCAAGGCTCAGCTCTGGCTGGGGTGGAAAAACAGGGATGAATGTCTGGCTGGGATCCAGACTGCCAGGCTTTCCTCACTGACTATGGCATAGCCCTGCTAAAGTCACCTTGCTGGGCTGGTCCCCTATCCGTCACATTCCCTTCGTACAATTGTTTGAAAGACTAACAGGATGAAGTGTGTGAACAGTGAAAATCTTTATTCGATTCACTTCCCTCATGGGGCATGTGAGGTGGAGGAACCTGGAAGACCTTAAGAAATTTCATTACAGGGAATGTGGGACTGGCTAAGGCAAATATGCCTCCATGCTGTAGTTCCCAGAGTTGCCTCTACAAGGTCCATATAATGGTCACAAAGATCACAGTAGCAAGCACTGTAAGACCAGTAAAAACAACACTGCAGATTGAGACTGTGTTAACCCGCCTACCTCTGGATCACCAAGCCTAAGCATCTTGCTTGGAACATGAGTTCTCAAGAACTGCTATATGGCTAAGCATTCCACCCTTGTAGAATACACAACCAAATTAGCAAGGAAGTAAGTGATTTATGTCAGGCCATCAGCAGGGTCCTCTTGCTTCAAAAGCTGATCTCTCAGCCCTGTTGCTACCCTAGTACCTTAGCTAGAGTACCTGCTAACACCCTCAGTACCTTCTCTCAAAGCATCCATTAAAGCCTTTGTTGGAGAACGTATAACTCTTTTAATTATATTTTTCATACAATGTTTTGATCCTTTTTTCCCTCCCTCAACCACCTTCATTTCCCTACCCACCCAAATTTACCATCTTGCTCTCTTAAAAAAAAATGAAAATCAAAACAAACAAGCAAAAGTATAATAAGATGAAACAATAAATGCCCAAACAAAGCAACATGAAACAAAAATACCCTTAAATTCCTTTTATGTTGGCCCACTACTTCTGGGCATAGGGCCTGCCCTGGAATATAGCTGATATAGTCAGCGACATTCTGGAAAAAACTGATTTCCCTTTGCCAGTGGGTATCAATTGCAGATACTTCTTGTTTAAGGGGTGGGGCCTTGTGTCCACTTCCTCCTCTCTGTGTTGGGACCTGTGCAGGTCTTGGGTGTGCTGTCACAGCCTCTGTGACTTCATACATGCATCACTCCAGAAGACACTGTTACCCTGAAATAATCTATCGCTTCTTGTTCTTATCATCTTCCCTCCTCCTTTTCCACATAGAACCCTGAGCCCTGAGGAGAGTAGGTCAAGTGCTCCAACATTTCACTCTCTGCATATTGTCCAGGAGTGGGACTTTGTGTTAAGCCTTGTAGCCACGGCTGTCCTGGAACTTGATCTGTAGACCAGGCTGGCCTAGACCTTGGAGATCCTCCTGCCTCTGCCTCGTGAATGCTGGGATTGAAGGCCTGACCTTGGTGTTAATTCTTATCTGCCAAGAAACAGCTCCCCTGATGTGGGTTGAACGAGATGCTGGTCTACAGGCACAGTCATGAGTGGAGGAGAGTCTAAAGATTCCAAGCCAGCCTCTGCTGTGCCTCGGGTTGCTATGTGGAATAGTCTAGGCACCCACCAGGCCCCACCCTCCCTTTTCTTTCTCTAGTCCACTCCTCCCTGGCCTCTGCTTCCTGCCCCCTCTTCTCCCTGGGGAAGAAGTTGGCCCAGCTGCTGTCGGATATGAGCAAGTCCTATGGGCGCCCTTGGCTATGACCTGGATTGGCCCATTCCTTCCCACCCTGTAGCCACTGAAGTATGCAATCCTACCTCTGGCCAGCTCCTCCTATTCACATTCAGATATCTGAGTTTTTGAAAACTCTTAACTCTGCCCACAAAACCAAACACAGAAAGAGTGAGTGACTTCTAGTCCTTTTCTCTTAGGACAGAAGGTTTAGAAGGACCCCTGGGAAGCAGGCTGGCCGATATGAGAACACTATTCCTTGGGAGATCTCTAGTTTCTTTACAAAGTGTTCATCCCTCTGAGGCAAGCTTGTCTGGTGAAGACTTGTCAGGGGAAGTACTGTGTGTGTGTGTGTGTGTGTGTGTGTGTATCTATGTGTGTGTGTGTATCTATGTGTGTGTGTGTATATGTATCTATATATATGTGTCTCTGTGTGTGAGTATATGTGTCAGAGTATGTGTGTGTGTGAGAGAGTGTATATCTATGTGTGTGAGTATGTGTGTGTGTATCTATGTGTGTGTGTCTCTCTGTGTGAGTATATGTGTCAGTGTGTGTGTGTGAGTGTGTATCTATGTGTGTGTGAGTATGTGTGTGTGTGAGTGTATATCTACATGTGTGAGTATGTGTGTGTGTATCTATGTGTGTGTGAGAGTATATGTGTCTGTGTGTGTGTATCTATGTGTATGTGTCTCTCTGTGTGAGTATATGTGTCAGTGTGTGTGTGTGTATCTATGTGTGTGTGTGAGTGTGTGTGTGTGTGTGTGTGTGTGTGTGTGTGTTGGGGATGGGACTTTCGCAGCAGATGGGATCCGCAGGGAAGCCAGGACATGCCAGCTAAGAGAGGAAAGCCAGGATGTCCTTCCCCATCAGGAGGAGGGGAGAGATGCTGGAAGGCAGCAATGGAGGATAGCGTGGTCCCTGTTTTCTTCCCTTCTCCCCAGCAATGGCTGCCTCAGGCCCCTGGCTTTCCACTCCCCCTGTCCTGCCCAAGAGCCTGCAGTTTTTAGTGCTGATGTCCCAATAGGATCCATTCACCTCTCTAAGAGGGAGGGTAGAGAGGAATGGTACCAAGCTCTGCCTTCTCAGAGGTCCAGCTACAGGGCAGGGGGAGGGGTGGGGGAGGCAGGGGTGACTCTTTCCTCCCGGAGAACCCCAGGAACTCAGTACCTAGCCTAACATTGAGCCAAGTGTTTAGCAAACTTGACTGATAGCTTTGAGGAAAGACAACTGCCCAGGTGCTGACCCCATCTTCTCAGTCCTCAAACACAACAGCATATCCATAGTCTGAGATCTTTTTATTGTTAGGTTTTTTTTTTAATTTACTTTTTAAAGGATTAAGGTCATTGTTTTAGGAGAAAACATTTAGTGCCACCTCTTTCCCTATAGATGGACCAACGTGAGAACCTTTAGTTACTCACTTTATTGCTAATTTCATTCATGTTTTCCTTTTTAGTAGATCATATATATATATGGATATATATATGTATATATATATATATCCATGTGTCCCTAAAACAGAAACCTTAAGTATTCTAGGGCAGACAGAAATAATCCCCCCTTGGACACAAATTCCCCAGTCATCCTTTCCTTCCTGACAGGTAATTATTTTGTGTTCATTTCATCTGCACCCTGTTTGTCACGATTTATAAAGAAATGAGAAAGCATGAATACACATTCAGTTTGCCCACCTGTAACAAAAGGGGTCCTTTCCCAAAGACTATGGTTTTTAACAAACTTCCGGTTGTATGCTCTGTGCAAGGTTTAAATAGTATCTAACTGCATTCTTACATTTATGCATAAGTTTGAGCATTTGCTTTCATATGTTTAAGAGGGAATGGTAGGTAGGCAGGTGTGTGTGTGTGTATGTGTGTGTGTGTTGCACTCATGTACACATACTTGTTTTCACTATGTCAGTTTTTGCTGATTCTTGGGAGCCATTTCCCATTATGACACAGACTTGGTGTAGAATAAAATCTGAAAATATTTTCCTCAAATTATTACTTGACTCTGGATGGGGGTCACAGAGGTTTGACTGCTATCATTTATTTTTATGTAACTGAGTGGATATTTAGTTTTATACGTTTTGGATTCTGTATCTT